GATAACCAGTTTTAAATAATTAAAATGGGTGCACAAGACTTAATAGGGTTTCTCTAATATCGCATAACTCTGAATTTTAAAGACACGATTTTAACTACCGTCGATTAAAAACTTGTGAAAAGACCTTCAAGATTGTTCAATATGTGATTTGAAAGTCTTTGTGAAGAGGGCGATTTTTTTTAGCTACAATGGGAAGTATATGATTACAATATATTTTTATTTTTAATTACGGTACAATTTTAACTTTCCTATAGTGTACTTACAGTAAACGAACACCGACAAATTTAATATTATCCTATCGTTGCGCCGAGCTGCATACATCGGACGCCGGATGGTTAAGTCGGTGAGCTATAGCCTATGAACATGGGGCCCTGGTACGATTTTGGTAGAATAGTCGTCGCATTTGAAACAAAGAAATTATTTTATGGGGTTTTTAATTAAATGTCGCTCGTTTTTAAGTTTAAAATGTGTTTTAATACTGTTATACTATGGTCTATATTACTATAGTTATGAACCTAATTGTTATAAAAAAAGTTCAAAAATCGTGTTAATTTCATTAATTTAAAAATTCTTTAAATCACTTGACACCAAATTAACTTAATTCTTGTAGTACTGCACATTAGAGTATGGACATCAGATTCAATTTTAGTATAAACATGTACCTTTGTGCTAATTTTCAGGTTTCTACCAATACGGCAAGTGCCTTATAATTTTGATGATGAGTGTGTAAGTACCTTACAAAAATGTAAACTTTGATATTCTCCCTCTTTGAAAAGGCTCAATTTGTGCAGTGTCCAAAGGTACTTAAGTTAAATGTATGTTTCAAATTTCAAATGTCCATATTAGGAGGAAGCAGAGATATGAGGGTGAGAAACCCCAAATGAATTGGTTCATGTAGGTATTTATACACTAGTATTCTTGAAATTTACCTTGGCGCACTGTCAAGTTGATATTCCAACCATTCTCATGCGTTTAAACCGTCGCTTAAAAACTTTTATTTTACCAATAATGGAAAGTATACGATTACAATATATTTTTATTTTAAATTACGGTATGTTTTAACTTTCCTTCAGTAGTTGAAAACCAACAAATTTAAAATTATCCTATCATTGAGCCGAGCTGCGTACATCTGACGCCGAATGAACATGGGACCCTGGTACGATTTTGTTAGAATATTCATCGCACTCGAAACAAAGGAATTATTTTATAGGGTGTGGCGTCCGACAACCGTGCTCATAGCGGTGGGATCGCGATAAAAGTTTTCATAATGGTTCAAACAATTGGCACCATTTTTAAATTCAAAATGTATTTATATTATTATTGTTCTATAATATTATTGCAGTTATGAACCTACTTGTTATAAAAAAAAATCAAAAATCGCGTACAACGGTTAGCCGTTTGAAGTATAGGTATTATTTATTTAAATTACTTGATGCCGAATTAATTCATTAGAGTCGTATTGGTAGTGATAATGGAATAGGACAATATCACCGTGACCTCTTTCTAACGCTATTCGTGCAATATGTGTATATTTTTTAACTGTAAACGTTTCCCAGAAAAAATTTAAATCGTTAATCGTTTGTTGTACCTAAATCAGAAGTCGATAAAAATGTATAATAATATTCCGAGAGCTTACCGACATCTTCATGCCTTCTCACTTAAAATCTAAATAAAACTAATTTTCGGTTTCTGGTTTTCTCGGTTTTAGATCCCAGTGTGTTTTCGGTGAAACGATACCAGCGCCCATCGTGGTCACGGTTATCTAGGTAACCGTGGTCGTGGTCATGCTCGACGCATCGTAGGTCCTATCCGAGGGTCTCGAAAATGGTACCAGGGTCTCATGGCCGAAATACACCGTCCGGCGCGGCGTCCAGTATCATAGTTGCCGCCGCCTGGTCTTCGTTGAATCGACGAAAGGACGCCGCACGGCTTACACATTTCTTATACCGTCGCGTCGTTGCTCTATTATGCTGACAAACAGGAAGCGGGCCATACTTCAATTATACACCTTTAATACCAGTTTATTCTATTTGTTTAGTCCGTTGGCGTTCTAATTTAATAAAAAAATATTATTGAGATCTGGAGCTGGATGGTTGTTTTCACAACTAACGAATTCAAAGAAACTTCTTTTGATTTCTGACATAAGAGTGGGTTTCCCGGGCGTTTAACACACCTAGTTAATAGGTGGTATACTTTTGTTGTATACAAGCCTTTTGGCAATTAGTACACTCGAGAATACATTTGGAGGGTTTCCTTGGTTCAACTATTACTAAGCAACGTAACAGTTTATTCAAATAGAAGAGGTAGAGATGCTGAAACTGAAAGAGTAAAGCAGAACTTTTTGTCTCGGAAAATTATAATTTCCGAGTCATCCCAACTAATTACACTTGGCTTTGATGAATTCCTACTAATTTTAAACGACTTGGCTTATTATTTTTAACTATGTACAAAATTGTAATATATATGTATGCTATATCTTTGCCTTCGAGATTCAATGTACGAGTAGCGCATTGTTTTATTATCTAAATATAATAGTTAAGATAATAAAGACTGAATTGTTAATATGATGATGATTAATTAGAATATAATAATTGTAAGTTATTGTTATGAATAATAATATAATATATATATAGAGAGAGAATTACAGGATTTGTGAAAAAAAATAAAAAATTGATAATAAAATATATGTGAAATGTTAGGATTTAAATGCATAAATATACCTAGGTACTGATTAAGTTAATTATTAAAAACAGGCTATGAAGTAAAGTGAGCTTAAGTTGTTTAATTTTATATTGTAAAAACAAGATTATGTTGAAACAATTCAAATATAATAAATAAAATAAAAAGTTGTTTAATCTAAATTTTCTGTTGAAGTTGCGTAATCATATATGTATTTAGTTCAAATATATAAAGTATTGAATTGCTGATAAGGTTTATGTACCAATATTATGTTTTCGTTTGTCGGTTTCATTTGAATAAAAAATATTTTCATATTTCTCAAAGAACCAACCTATGCTCGAAACGTTGATTGGCGTTAACATTTCTTGTAAATAACTTGTATAGCTTTATAGGTGAAATTTTTGTCGTACAGTTCTTCCAGTCTCATTTCTTGTGCTGTCTGTCTCCATGTCTATCAATAGTAATTCATAAAAAAAATTATTCCTATAAATACAACTAACTCAATAAGTGTTTGTATACAGAGTGATCCATGTGATGTAAGACACTCATTTTTCTTAAAATATGAATGATTTATACATTTTTTTTGTTTTTTCATAGTGTGTTTATACAATGTGAAATTAATTTTTCATAATTTGTATTGTTTTTACCCTTCTCTTACCGTTTTTTGATAGCAACTATGATAACTATTTTTGAAGTTATTGAAGTTACAATTATTTTTATCCACGCACACTTTTCAACTGCACTTCCCTTCCCATCTTAATTTGTATTCATCGTATAACTTTAAAAATTACCATTTCGACCAGTCAAATTGTTGAGTACATTATTTTTTATTTAAAAAGTTAATAAAATGTATACATTACAATTCAAGTTTTAAAAATTGCAAAAGTTAAAAAAAAATGTGAAAAATTGAGATTACATTGTATAAACACATTTAGATTTATATAAGTAATAATGTTCGTGACGTTTATTGTGAAACGCAATTTACACGAGTAACATGTAGTGCCCGTGGGGCACTCGCGTATGGTGGACAATCCCCACGATTTATATATATATATATAGGAACTGCTGATACGTAACGCTAGTCTTCAAGCAAGAAGCACCAGAAACTGGCTTTTTTAGTAGGTCGTTTCTGACCTGACAGATGTCTAGATTCGAGATTGACACTACACTTAATCCGTACTTAGCTTGCGAAATAGTTTTTCGAAACTTGATATGAATTCTGATTTATTAGATAAAGGTACTATGAATTATAACGACGTTAATTTAAAACGCAGTGCCGGAATAACCGTACTAGCATACAGTACTCGGAATCTGTGACCCATACGCCCGAGGCGGCGGAGGTCTGGACACTAACCTCTAGACGTTTCATTCTTTTTTAAAAAATTGCTTCCAAACCCGTAAAGTAAATAGCACCGGACACTCGCTTTTTTAATAGGTATATGGTTTCTGACCTGACAGATAGCTAAACTAACGGCTAGACACTGATCTACCACTCAGAATCTGTGACCTATCCGGCCACCTACCAGCTACTATCTGTGAGCTACCCGGTCGCCTACCAGCTAATATTTATAAAGCAAGCATAAGTGTATTTCTTTTATTTATTAAAAAAATTAATTAACCTTGTCAACGAAAAGCTACTACTCCAAGACCGTCACTGGACCAGAACAAGGCATGTGGTGTTAGCAACGTTGGCTACACTATCTAACCCACCGGTTCTACCCATGTCATTTCATGGTCGTAACCCAGCTAGTCCTTATGTGACGGTCTACACGAGAGGTGTTGATATGTGTACTGTGATGAATAAAGTGTGTTATTTAAATTATTGATTCATAAAAAGTGTTGACTTTCTTCTTGGAGAATTCATATAGTAGACTCATGTGTGTTTAAAACAATGGAAATAATATTATATGTAATAAATAAACATTTAACAAACAAAACGGAAAAACTCAAATGAAACGTTTTAACGTATAACTGATCAATACACTCAAATGTACCTCATTCCACAGACATCGATATTACTTTTCTCACTTCTTTTAATTTTTTGTTATTACAAGCAAATGGTCCGAGAAGTGACAAAATGGATATACTAAAATAAAAATGTAAGGACTTAAAATTACTAAGATTAAATAATTGTGAAGCAATGTCGGCAGATGGGGTGGACGGAGAGGAGTAGTGGTCCCGACAAAGGCCCTAAATAGCCTGTATATTAAGCCAATACAAATTATGACTGAAATAAATCAAATAGTTTATAATAGCGAGTAAAATCGTTTTATTTTGCAGAAGGTTAAATTATTTAACAATTTTGATATTAGTGAGGCACGCAAAAAAAAATTTAAATATAATAACAGATGTACATTATAATTTATGTATCATTTATTAAAATAAACCTGAGAAAATAGAAAATATTTATGCTCATAATATCGTTAAATCACGAACTATGCTGTTTCCTGTATCGCTATGGTCGTTGTTGTCCACATAATGTATATCAAGCCCAAAGCGTTTAAATGACTTCCTGTCTAACCTTCCATGGCGTATGACACAAGTATCGTCTTCTAAAACAATTGCAGTGTTTATGTAACTTTCTGGAATTCTTGTACTCCAGAACAATCCTATGATTCGACATGTGTACTCAAAATCAATTCTGTGACTCCTTGGGTCTAAAAAAAAGTTTTCAAAAGTTAGCCAAATTCAGCTTGCTGTACTGACAAAATAATACATATTTGGACTAACTAAAATTAAAGCTAATCTTATATCATCACTCAAGAGAAAAAGTGTATTGGGTCACAAAATGTTAATTTTACAGGAGAGAGAAAAATTAAATTATTTATTAATAAATTAATAATAACAAACTTTTTTTTTCCTAAACCTACAAATTCACACACTTCATCATCATCCAACTGCATTACCTGTTTTACCCTATAACATTCTCCAAAATTAAACAAGATTGTCACCGTTTTACTCCGGCTAATCCTTAGTCCTTTGTCTTCAATCGCTTCTCTCCACTTTTCAAGTCTCTCAGCCAATTGTTTCGGACTTTCCCACAACGTCCTCCGTAAACATCATACACAAAGGCACCTCCCGCTGTATATCTTTTGACTAAAATATTCCATTTCTCCACACACACACACTCTTTACTCTTGTATCATGCATTTCCTCTATTATTTTCACTTACATCCTTGGCACTCGTTTTTTTCTTTAACGTCCACCTCTAAACCTCTAATGAATAAGTAACTCACTAATTAAATAAAATAAATGAACTTAGATAAACTCATCTAAGAGTCCATACGTCATATAAAACAGTAAATAGAGTTTGCAATTTAAATTTAGGTGAATCAAAAACCCGGAATATAGAAATTTTTACTAAATACACTTTTGCTCTAAGGTACGGATAATTAACCTAATAAAAAACTGTAACGGTGGAATAAGTATTAAATAACTTTTTGAACTAACTTGTAGTTTCATTCACTAGAAAACTAGTTGGACGATTTATTTATGTTGTTATTTTAACTTTAAAGTGTTAACTGTAATGTTTGTTGGTCCGACTATGCAATTTTCCGTGACACAACTAGTTTTTTTATTAGTTTATTACTTACTGCTCATAATATTGATTATTAACAATGCTAAAACTGGGTCTAACATTTTTCTTCGTGCATCTCCAAGATCATATATAGATATATCACTACGAGCTGATAAATTCAATAAATGTGTTAAACAAAGTATAAATAATTTTGTAAAGTGTTTTTTAATGCAATTTTGTAACTTCAGTAAACACGGTGAAATTTCTAAATTACAAATTATATTATTCAAAAAACACACGTTAAACAATAACACAAATCGTTAAAATATGTTTTTATTGGAACTATACGTTTACATGGTGTCTATTTAAAAAATGGTTATTCGAAAAATCTATTATTTTTCAACCAAATAATATTTTATTCAACTAGTGTGTTATTTAAATAAAACAAAAATCTAGCTAGTTACAGTGACCAAAATAAAGAAAAAGTAGAAAATTTAATGAGTAGCAGTTTAATTAATACTTTGTGCGATATTTTATTATAGTAAGAAGATAAGCGGCAACTACAATTACTTGCATAATTTTTCACTGACAATTAAAGTGTCAATAGAAATAAATATCACACACAAATTTCGACAAGTGAATACAAGCCATTCTACTAGCTGATATTAGTTTTTATTCTTCTTCTTTAGGGATTTTGAAGACCTATGACGGTCATACGTTTTAACTTCAAAAATCGTTTAACTGAACTGGACGTATAAAAATGATTTGTTTATTAAATTTGTGTAAATAGGGTAACGGGATTTGATGTTAAAACGTGTAACGTTCTAAGTTTAAAAGTTCAATGAAAGTACAATTTTTTGTGTTCGGTTGGAGGTAAAGGTTTTTGAACGTTAAAATATATAGCGTATAAATGAACGTAAGGTTGTCGAACAAATATTTGTATAATGTTATGTTTAGTTTATTATAAGCTTGTAAAATGAACGTTTTCATTCTAACAGTTTATTCTCATTACGTTACGGAAACCTGGATTGACTTAAAATAAATTTCGAATGACCATCTAGATTTTAAGCGCTATTTACAACTGTCGGATAATGCGTAATTACCTAGAGCTGCTAAATCATCTTCAGTAAGGTATTTTTAATTACCCAGGTACCCGGTTTTTTAATTACCCGGGTACCCGGGTTTTTAATTTCTTAATACCCGGGTAGCAAACACGGGTACCCGTTTAAAACCGTAACCCCTAGTAATTACCTTGAGCTGCTACACCATTTTCAGTAAGGTCTGTAATAGAAACATCAATTAATATGACATATTATTATGTCATAGGTTATTCCGAAATCTGCGTGGAAAAATTGTGTTACGATTTCGCGTCATCATCATAAAGATAGAGGTATATAGATATTAATTGTACCTCATAATAAAACAATCGTTATGGTTATACGGACCCGTAATGCTAAAGCATTTCCGCGATTCAATGTATTTCCGTTGAGCGGAAAAAATAACTAGATATTTTTTATAAATATTTTCTGTGGCTATATACGGTTAAAACTCATAAATATATAATATATATATATTGGTAAAGTAGTTTTGGATTAAACCCCTTCCATAAACAATCGATTCAATTTAGAACACTTGAAATAATTTTCAAGTAGCTGTTTTGAGTAAACGAAATGAACAGAATGATATCAAATGATCATTAACACTAAGCTGAAAATATTTAGTTTATAACTATGATTTCAAACTGAATGTTTTTTAGTACAATTAAAATTTAACTATAAGTTTTGTAAAAATATGTTAAATTTTATAATTACCTGAGTCTTCGAGTAATTTTAGTTGCAGACCAAACTCCAACATACGCTCTAAAATTAAAAACAAAATGCATTTTTATATATGTCTATTTTTATGGCAAAATTAATATGCATATGATTTTTCTCATAATTTAAAAACTCATGTAAAAGCCGTGTGTAATATATTACTAATATGAAAAATGTGTAGTAACATAAAGCATATGTTTAAGTTTTAACTATATTTATTAAACTATCATTTTGTAATAACATATTATATATTCAAATTTATACTATATGTGACATTTTTATATAACTATCATGTTATTATTATTCAATATACAACGCGCGTAGTGTGATATAGAACCTCTTTGAATAATTTCAATAAACTTAAAATACTCTAATAGATAGCGTACATACTCATTTCAGGCGTAACATTTACATAACAATAAGTTCATTAAAGAAGGAGTCGGACACACGACTCGACACGAACTTAACCGAAACGAACTTAACCAACACAAAAACGTACTATTTAAGCCAGCCTTCAGCGCAGCGAAGCGCAGTTGCTCTCTCACATCTCTCATACAACCTTCCTCTCCTTATTGTGTGGACGCCAAAGTCGGGTAGCTGTTATCAGTCCGCCGCGGCCACCAATATCCTTTCTTTCCTTATTGTGTGGACGCCAAAGTCGGGTAGCTGTTATCAGTCCGCCGCGGCCACCAATATCCTTTCTTTCCTTATTGTGTGGACGCCAAAGTCGGGTAGCTGTTATCAGTCCGCCGCGGCCACCAATATCTTTCCTTTCCTTATTGTGTGGACGCCAAAGTCGGGTAGCTGTTATCAGTCCGCCGCGGCCACCAATAACATAATCCTTCCTTATTATCCTTACACATACATACGCCGAGTCCGTAGCGATATATAAAAATACTATATTCATTACAATTCAATTACTTAAATACTTTAAACCGTACGAGTTTCTTATCACACACGTGTCATTATTAAGCAACAAAAACACTGTTGTTGTTTCGTTCATACATATACCTATACCTTTACCTCTTAAAAGTGTCGTTAAAGGTCATTAATTCTAGCGGTCGAACAATCCTATTACACCCATGTGACTATTTTTGGTCAGCGAGGAATGTAGTCGGTTTATAATAACTCAGTAGACGTTGTTATTTCTGACAAGCGCATTGATTATTATAAAGCCATTGGTAGACCGTGTACTGAATTACACTTTAACGAGAAACAGATGGTCGTAAGATAACGTTAAAACACCAGTGTCTGAAATATTTTATGAATGAAAACATTCGTGTTAAAACAACGTTCATTTCGGCATATCAAGATCACATACTCAAGGAATATCGACAAGGTCATAGAGCTTCGAGTGATTCCACGACAAGGTATGTACTGTATACAATATTAAAACACTGTGTAATAATAAGTCTAGAGGCAGGAAGTGAGCCCTTGTAGTAAACATACACACATGCACACCCCGATTAAGAGACGTTTTCATACTTATTTAAAATATCCATTCACCGCCGCTTCCCCGTCCTTTTCTTTTATTACAAATGAATTACGTTTAGCACGGTCGTTATCAAAATTTTTTTCTGAAATTAAAACGAATCGTTATATTCTTGTGAATAACCAACAACTATATTGAAATATTTTCAATTATTACCAGGTATTGCAAACATAAAAGTCAATTCATCTGAAATTAAGAATATAAAAAATGTATTTTTAAATGATATTAGACTTAATTTCATGTTCAATTATAAATTTAAAGGAGGAAGTCAAGGTAGAACTACATGTTTAATAATAATAATGAAGTTACATTTACAAATAAATATTGAGTGATTTAAATTTAATATTTATATCACTCGTAAAGTTGCATCGATAAATTGTTTTTGCAATTATTGTATAATTTCCAAAAAATGTCTTCTACTAGCATACTTAATCGATTTTGTTGTGTAATAATAGTTACCCATTGAGAAATCAATAATACAAGCAAAATGTTTTATTATATTCCAAAGGGTCCCTGAAATAAATAAATTAATTAAATTAAAAAAATCAAATTTCGAAATTTTAATTCGACATAATATGTATAAAAATGTTCTGAATAGAAGTACATTTTGAGTTTAACGTGGCCCATTTAACCACAGAATAGATTAAAGCAGAAGAGTCACTTAACAATGTAAACAAAAAATGACGGCCATGTTCCAAATATGCTATAATCAAAATAAATTATATCTATATACAACTAAAAATAATAATGTATAGTTATATATAATTTATTTAGTGATAGCATATTTGGAAGATGGCCGACTCGTTTTTGTGTTATAAGTATCTTTAACGTGTCAATTTTGATCAGTGTCCAATGTCCATCCTTTGAGTGTTCAACCATGTTGGAATTTTATGGCACAATTATTCTATAATATCTATTCTAGATTATCAATAATATTGTACAAACTGAATTATTATAATGTAACCATATATTTCGTGTGGGAGACTCTTTTGAGAAATATTCTCAATACATGTTACATTATTTAAGCTTACTATCCTCATCAAACCTCGACTTCACTACTGTTGAGAATTCCTAGAGTTCTTCGGAAAACCCCCATTTTTAAAAATACAATACACACAAAGGCCAATAAATGAAAACATTTTTATATGATTATAGTTCATAAATATAAATTACCTTATAGTCAGGCAAATGGCAAGTACAAAAAAAACCATTCAATTCATAGTATTAATCATTTTAAGTATGTCTTACCATTTTCAATATGTTTCCCGATGAGTATGTCTGTAATAAATTATGTATAAAAACTGTAAGTCTTAAAACTTAAAATAATATTTTGTAAACAAAAAATGTACTGACTTGTAGTATGAAGCATCTTTCTTTTTGCTGCTATATCTGTAAAAAAGTTGAATATTGAATATTGTTTAATTTTTTTTAAATCTAAACTAAGTACCTTAAGTAGATACTTGTAAAAACGAATTACATACCCGCATTTGTCAAAACGTTTAAAAAAACACAGTACATTAACACATAGATTACTTTCATTTTTGTCTGCAAATAATAATGCAAATTAAAATATGTTATATTAGACGAAGGTATACTTACAATAAAATATAAATATAGATAGATTTATAATATTCAATGAGTAAAGTATTATAAAATGTATGTGACACACACTAATATTAAATCAAATTTAAATTACAAAAAAACTTACAATATAAAACATTAAGTGAAATGTTAACTGATAAAATTATTAGGGACTTATTAGTTGATAGGGTCCATGCTTTTCTTTTTAGTCAAAAAGTAAATATGTTTAACATTATTTAAAATTGAAGTTAATTTTCGGTTGTTTTCAAAGTAACTGAAATCTTAGATAAAATGTGCTACAATTGACTGGTAAATTGTTCTTGTAGTAAATTTTTTTTTTTTAGTTCACTTTTTACTATTTTTAGAAAAGCACGTTTCTAAAAAAGTTTTTAAATTTATAATATTGTACTAAAAATGACTGGCCGATAACAAGTTTTGGATAACTATTTTTTAAGTACTTAAATAATAATAATATGAGTAGTATCTAACAATTTCTGGTGTTATAATTCAGTTAGTGAAAACACTTGTTTTAAAAATACATGGTTTTTTTGTGTTCAATATGTAAACATAATATTAGAGTTTCTACGTATGGAGGAGGAGCTCAAATAGTATCATAGGTATAAGTAAACTATGGTATACAGTTAAACAAGTGCTTAAAGTCCTACACTAAACTACTAAAAAAACAATTCACATAGATTCTAAGTACAATAAAATATCATAACTTTATACATCACTTGTATTAGGCCGGCAACATATAGTAATAAAAAATATTATAATATGTAGATGTCCATTTACAATATATGTGGTATAGATGGAAACATTTAACATAAACAAAGCAGCAAGAAGCTACGAACAATTTTTTTTTTGTTTTTGTAAATAATGACTACGAAAAAAATTGACATTAAAGCGTTTAGAGATCGCTTATACTTACAATAAAATCTAAATATGTATTGCAGATTTCCCTATGTAAATTTTTTAACTTTAAGCAGGATTATTTTTTTTTCATTGTGTTTACTTATTTACATTAGTCAGGTGTGAAGTTTAAACTTCTGCTGCTATAGCCATGCAGATAAAAAATCATGGTGTCTTACATTGATTCAAAGATTACTTAACCACGAGATACGATTACAGAAAATATTTAATAACAATTATTGACAAAGTATGTTTACTAGCTTTAAAATTTACTGTCGTTTCGCGCGTTTCAGAATACGGTTAAATTAAATAGAGTTGTTTTCGATGGAAACTACACAGATGTAGAGGCCTCTTAATTATGTCAAGGCGGATTTTGTTTGTTTACATTAAACACGTTATATGTATTCATTCTGGTAGCCTAAGAATATAGTATCGTTAACCATTTTCTATAAAATCAAATAAATGTAATAACACTTAAAAATTATAAATGTTTACACTATGACAATTCATTAGAATTATTCACAAGCTTATTATATAAAATAGTTATATTTTTTGATAACAACTTTTAAAATATACAATTCATTAACTTTTAACTAGCTTTTCATTAACTCGCTAACACATACGTACAGACCACAGTGGTCTGAAATCTAAAAACCGCGATTAAATAAAAAATTTTCAAGTTAGACCTAGGGAACTGAAATTTTTACTGTACAATAACAACAAAATCTGCTACTTAAAAATACATTTTGTTTTTCTGTGACCTGTAACCTCTCCGTCCCTACTGCTCTGATCCTATTATGCCTCGACCTCACTGTACTGACTTACTAAGATAAAATCACTTTCAAATAAACGCCTGCAGTACCTACTATAGTACTATGCTATGCGTAGTTATAACCAGAATTTTATTAAAATATATCTGAATAATCATCTAGATAACAAATTATTTAAATAAAAGTTCTTCGTTTAAAAATGTATTCAAATAATTTTTAAAAATATCATTTAAATAGTCTAAGTGATTTTTTACACCTAAAGTAGTGTCACTGGTCGCCCCCTTCACTCAAGTCGTCCAGCTTTGTAAAAAAAAAACAAGCCATTTTACTTATTGTACATATTAATAAAGATTAAGAAAATTAGAAAAAAAAAAGTGATTTCTAAAGTAATTATATTAAAAAGTGTTATTTCGTATACATTTAATACATTCTATATTTAGGAAATATATAAAACCAGTAAATATAAGAAAACAATTTTGTATATTACTTACCAAATAAGTGCAATGATAGTTATACTGGCTGCTGTAATGGTTTTTTTACGACTGATCGAATAGCTTATATATTGCCGACCGAAACAATAAAAATCTAGTTGTATTTTGCAGAATTGTTTATGCAAATTTGTTAACACAAGCAAAATTTGTCATTTTTCGTTATAAATAACATATTTACAATATTCTGAAGCATAATACCAAGTAGAGTATAATATTATATTTACTTAATATTATAGTAGTATGAGTAATAGTAAAGGCGGAATCTCAGCGGAGGGCTATGTACACAATTTTTAACTTACAAAACAATTCGTGCAAACGATAACCGAGATAATTTTCAAATTATTGTTGAAAATATTATTATTTTTAATTATTTAATTGAGTCGGCAATTTGTTTTAGTTTATAAGTTTCTCTACACATCCACATATGTACACAACCTACACATTTTCGCAAATCATAGCTCTCTGATTTTAATCAGTTGAACCCTTACACCTCCAGTAGAGCTATCTACATCATAACACAACACAGACTAATCGGTAAATAGCCATTGGTAACCGGGTAAAGTGGCCTATAAATGTCTGCCTTCGGCCCTTACATTTCTATTTTTGTAATTTTAGGTAAAAATCTGTCATGACTTTTTGTGAGTTATGCTAATTTTAGCAAGTTTAATTTTAGACAAGTTGCTTATGAAAGATACAATTAACTTAATATTAATAGGGCTAAACATTTAAACGCTATAACTTTTTGTAATATAGTCGAAATATCTTTAAACTTTTGTAGAATATTTTTTTTTATCATTTGCACATGTTTCGTAAATTCCAGCAAAATATCATAAGCCACTTTCCTATGAGGTGCGAAAGTACTCAATTTTGGACCTAGATTTCGGGCTTTGGATCTGAAACTTGTTTTTAAAATTATACCGCAAGTTGATAGAATATTATGTTAATGATTAAACATATAAGGGTTCTGCATGTGTTTTTATGAACTAACGTTATTAATATAATTATGTTATGTGATAATACAAGGTTATTAACTTATCGTTAACCACTCAATATCTCACTGGGTTAAATAAGATTTTTTTTTTTTTTTAATAGTGTTTTCATGCAATGGGATCTCAATTTTGTATTTATTTATATTTTTTTAAAAACCCTCCCAACTTAGTTTTTTTGATAGTAACTTTTGAAACTTAAATGGTGGCGCATATATTTCATTAACTTTTTAAATTGAGAATAATGCAATACAAATTTTGACTGGCAGGAGAAAGGGTGGAGTGTAGTATTATTTTTATCTGTGTGCATTTCCCAACCGCACTTCCCCTCTTATCCTAACTTTTAAACTCTTATAACTTTAACAATATTTATTCAAAACTCTATATCGACCAGTTAATTTTTTTAGTACAGAATTCTCAAAAAAAAAGATAGTGAAATGTATGCGTTACTATTTTAGTTTCAAAAGTTGCTATCAACAAATCTAAATTTGGAGGGGGTAAAAACCAAAACAAAAAATGGAAGAAGTTGAGATAACATTGTGTAAAAACTGTATGGAAAATTAAATTAAATTATTAATTAAACCCAGTGAGATAATTATTTACAATAAGTTTATTATTGTGTAAGTTAATTATTCACAATTGGTTCACAATAAGTTGATCACCTATATTATATAATAAATGTATTGTCAACGTTTTTGACCAATAATAAAAACATAAAAATACATATATTAGTAAAATATGAGTTTTTTAAATGTTAACTTAAAAGATTGTATGAGGTAGGTATTAGCCATTTATTTACAAAAAAAACATGTTTTCGTAAAAGAACTATAATAATGTTGAAACTTTATGATACTAAAATACTTTTGTCGTTTGTTTACATTGTAACAGACGCTGTGAAATAATAGAATACATAAAACTGCTGATTAAACACTAATAAGATCTGTATGTAGCAATATCCATTTAGGAAAAAAACATTATTAATATGTAATAATATTATAGCTTTTATAAAATAATTATTGTAAAAACATAAATTTAGTTTGAGGATAAATGGTAGTAATATAGCCATTTACACAGGGCTCGAAAACGTTTTTATAACGTTATGATTATGACGTTAAACTTGTCAAAAAACGATTGAAATGGATAACCAAAAACATAACGAACAACATTAAACGCTTATTCTAAAAATAAAACAATAACCAAAACGTTTTGATAAACGAAAAACATAAAAACGTTAAACATATCAAAAAAACGATAAACGAAAAGATTCAAGTAACATAACGAAAACAATAACGGATAAACGATATAAAATGTTGTAACAAAAAAAAATATTATTATAGGTACCAAAAACTAAATTACACCAAATAGACTCTACATGATCAAATGTTTGGTTTTTTGTGGTCTATAATTAAGTATGTGTAATTTGTATGAAATCGCAACACATGAATACTACGTATTGGGAAATTATTTTATCTTTGCAGTAAATTTTATTGTTCGATGTAAACTGTAGAGCGATAAAATAATGTAGAATCACTTTACTATACCAGTTATATAGAAACGGGTCTAGGGTGTTGTTTATCACGGCAGTGGTTTTTTCCGGTTATAACATCTGATAAGATAAAGGATTTACCGGGAA